GACAAATACTATTTGAACGAATTTTGATTGTCAGATAATTAAAACCAAAATATTCAATGATAAGCAAAGAATAGAAAAGCAAAAACAATGAGAAAATATATATTAATGATATATTTGACAACGAATTAGAGTCCCACTGAAGCAGAATAAATATAAGATAAAAATAAATTTCCAACGTACAAAAATTTCTTCGAAAATAAAATAAATTCTTTGAAGACAATTTTTATATGATTGTGTTTGTATTTTTCTTTTTATTGATAAGGAGATTATTACTATAAAATTTAAAACGCTATTCAGAAACTCAAGCGGTCTGAACTGGCTTTTCGCTCAATGAAATTAAAAATTATCATCTCGATAAAGATCGATTAGTTTTTCGTACTCAATTATAACTTATTATTCTCAAAGATATCATTGAACTGTCGCATAAAACATGAAATCATCTCATTTCATCCTCACATATGATGAAATATCTTTAGAGCAAAAACTTTGAGATGAGAAACGCGTCCATGACGATGAACGATAATAGAATTGAAATTGTACAATTGATAGATAGTTCAATTAATCAATTAATAAAACTACATAATCGATTTAGGTCCAATCCATAGTGGACTTCACTTTCAAATTTTTCAAAATTGTTTCGTACGTGTAAAGTTTGTATCGCTTGGAAGGCGATATCATATGTGATAAGCTAGCTAATATAGAGAGATCTTGACGCGAAAGTGAACGTAAATGAGGCATATGTTCAATGAGATCGAAAAATGAAGTCGATATAAGATTGGTGTCGGTTTCTTCTATATTGAATACGAGTGATGTGACATTGATAAAACGTTAAATAATTGGATTAAATAATGACAAATCAACTTAATGGATATATTTATCTTATCATAACAGAAATTGGATGATGTACATATTGGTGACCAATAAATATTCGGATATACGAAAATATTTGATGTAAAACAAGGTACCGTAAAGATATTTCGCGAATATGGACCATCATTGGCAACAAATCAGCGTTTTTGTTCAAATCAAAATAGTGAATAAAATGAATCAAGAACATTTTCTTCGGAAAAATCTGGTAATGAACATGGAAGATGCAATCAAAAGTTGAATATAGCCAAATGTGAAACAAGTAATTCCCATATTTGGCCATCAATAAGATCCAGATAACCTTGTGCAACAAGTTCGAAATAATATAGATTAGATATTTTAGATAAAAATTGTTCTGCATGAATCATGGTCATTTTTACCTTAATTTTAAAAAACAAAGAGTATATATCTACAATTTTCAAATAACTATACGCACCATGAATGTTTAGGACGAGCCATCTCAGATGGGACAATAATGATATGGTATCCGTTCACTGTGGATAAATATCATATGAAAGTTTGACATCAAGTGCATAAAGATTAGGAATTTGATTTAATATATGAGCATGGGGTACTGCTAGTCGATTCAGTCAAGGAATTAAGTTATATATAGCAGTGTATGTCTGTGTTTATTGTCACTAATCATAGTCATATCGAATGATTGAAGATAAATGAATTGTTCGAGTTTAAAACGAGAAAAGAATAGGTTTTATTGATTTGATGTATCTTTGCCATGGGACAATATAATAGAAATGACTTGATGTGGTCGTATATGTTGGCAAAGAAGATCAAATTTTGATTTAAGAACAGAACGAAAGTTGTATAAATAGTGACAATAGCCAGCTAATACAGAATCCAGGTAATGACTTAGGCTAGAAAATAAATAGTAGATATCATGTACGCAAAGATAATCAAAAATATCGTGAAGTAATTCAATAGGCAACCGATCTATTCGACTCAAAGACATAGTATAATAACAAAATATCATGTGAGATAACTGATTTCTTATTGCTTGTTCATGATGTAATAATATAACACAATGCTTTTTTTCTTGTTTTATTCTTTAGTCGATATTACTTGCAAACGTTGTTCTTTCGGATATGAAACACATGTCGAGATACAAATGATTCATCGTGTATTTGATTCTGAAAAGAATATAGAATGAGTATAAATCGATGATGAGCGAATGAGAGTGACAAATCAAAAGTTTTCAATAAAACGAGCAAACATGTCTTTCAATGGTCACATATCTCTTCTGCATCTTTAGTCTTTACGTACTTTAATCATTGCCATTTTTTTTCTTTATTTACAACATTTAGTACGAGTCATTGCTTTTCATTTTTAAGCCGCTTGTTTTTCTTTTTAATTCAACTTTATAACACTAGAGAAGTTTTTTTTGATGAAATTGAAATATAGAAAAATTCAGATTATCAAATCAACTTTTTTTTTCTCTAGGGAAAATGAATAAGCAAAGAAGAAAAACCTACTTCGAACGTTATCTTGTTTGAGTCACCTTGCGATTGAATGATGAATAAGAAAATGATTAACGTTATTTTTTTTTATATACAAGGCATCTCGTAAGTCATCGGGCAAGAAAAGATTTGAATATCTCTTCGTATTTCGGCGAAATAGACTAATTATTTCACTAAAGATGAACCATGATTTATAACTCATATTCATAGTAAAAACGTTAGCAAATAGGTTTTTGAAGTGTCATTTCTACCTTCTGACTTTCATAAGCTATAAAAATACAATATGTCTATCTCCATTGGACAAAAATGAAAAACATAACTATTTTTTCGATGACTTTTTCATACTATTGTGAGGTGCATATGATGTGGAGAAATATCTTCTTATGATTATTTTCTCTTTCCTATGTTGTTTTTGAGTGTTATCTATTCATATGCAAAGGTCTTCTGAACACTAACTATGATATTATACATACGTTGCTTCACTAATATTTTTCTGTTTATACGAACGATGATTCACCTACTCTCATGTATTATTCGATCCAAAATAAAAGGTAGTTTGCCATTTTTTCAAATAACTTCTAATAGGAACAAGATAGAGCGCTGCAATTTTCCTCATTCGAAAGAGCAATACTTGGACCATCGATCTGTATAAAATTCATTAGGACGAAAGATGTTTGTTCATAGAGAATTATCGATTAAGTTTTTTTCTAGGTATAATTTTCTTCAATTTTCACAATAATCTGAACTCAAATGATGCTAAAATGTACCTTAAGAACACTTTTTTCACTATAAAATATTTAAATACCCTTGAGAATCCACTTCGTAAAAGAGATCGCGGATTAATCGAAAATGTGATGAGTTTATAGTGAAAAAAGTGTGATAGGCAATCTTGTTCGAAAAGCATCTTTCATCCTCATAAGTTTTATACAGATCGATGGTCCATATGCAGTGATCGTTTGAAAAATAAAAAAGAAGTTCATTTTCGATCAGATCGATGGATTCATTCGTTAAGAGGAAACCAATTTAATTGAATCATAACACAACTTAACGATTAGTTGGGAAAGAAGATAGGATATAGAGCTGGCAAGTCATGAATGGCGCCGACGAATGATTCGCCGTTTGTTTCTAAGATTGATATGAGCCTTTCTTTCGCGAAGCTTTCTAGAGATTGGACAATAGTTTTCTGAAGAGCTCGACCAAGTGGATAGAATCTGGGATCGATGAATTACAACTGGCGCCCTCGAGAGACGATGATGAGCGGCTCGCCATTCACTCACAAGGTAGACACGTCTTTTCTTGCCTAAAGCTTTGAATGAAATATAGAGTATTTTTCGAAAGAGCTGAGGCAATTGTTGTGGTGAAGACGACTAATTCAAAATCGTACCAATTTCTCATAAAAGCCAAAGAAATGTAATTCATGATGAGAATATCGCGCGAACACTACATATTCCAAACTTGACATTACCAGTGTTGCTTTTTCTAAATTCCGAAAGTTGAAAGGCTTGTTTGTATGGTGTTGGCTATAGCATCACATAAACTGACGATTTATCTGATAATATTTGTCAAAGTGAATAGAATGAATTCAGTCGATCGTGAAGCGAGTCGTAGCGACAAGCATTACTTGTTATTCATTGTTCTTAAATATTGAAATTGAATATGGAATTTTTAAAATGTTACGTTCTTCCTCAATAGATGGCAGTATTTCATGAGAAGAGTTGTTTTATTACTCATAGATATGTAGTGAAATAAATAAATTATTCTTATTTTTTTTAATAGATGATTCATATGACATGGCCTTCAAGTCGATTTGTTTCTTTCAGAAGCATTGAAAATTAATTCAGCTACTGATGAAAGATAGTATAACTTATTGCTTTCAATAGACATCCAAATAACTGAATCTATTTAATATAATACGGTCGAAGAGATATAATGAGAAAAGGAAATATTTTTTTAGAAGAAGATCAATTTTTCCATTAACATGCAGCGAAGAAAAGACAATGAGATTTAAATAATTATAACTTAGAAACTTTCAGTTACTATCTATGAATAATTGATCATTGAATAAGATATCTTCTTATCAGTCTATATATATACTTATTTTTTTAATTAAATAACTATTTATCAGAATACGTTGAATTCTGTCTAAACCTAATTAACTAGTAGACTATAATAAATGACTGTTTTTGAACTGTTATGACCTGATAGTTTTAATGAAACATATAATCTTTGTATTGTCGCTGGCTCATACACAAACTTTCTAATTTCTCATAAAATAAATCTATAAAACGTTTTACTTCGATTATGAATCTATCACTTTTCTGTTAATCATATCAAACATTGTTAGTTTTTTTTTTTGTATTTGAGACTGAAGTAATCGAATTGTATCTGACAGAAGTTCTACTAGAAGTAATTTCACTTTAGAAATATTCTTCATCATAAAACAAAGTTCAGATTAATTTCAAGACAATCAAATCACTATAACTATCCATATAAAATTTGAACTATGTTAATACTAAAGCAAAAAACAAGTAGCGATTTTTTTATTGCAGAAAAGAAATGCAAATTGTTCATAAAAAAAAGATGAAAATATTCATTTGTTCGCGTAATGTAGAATAAAAATAGAAATTTTAATCATTTTTAGTCATTTAATGTTTAAAAAATTTAATCATTATTTTCATCTGTTGTTGATGCTCTGATGACTGGCAATCTAATAAGAAAACAAACAGAATTTATATATTTATTAGTAATAATATGAATTATTATATACCCACGAGCATAATTGCAAGGTCCATCATGAAGTGGGTTTGTTTGTGTCTGTACAAAATGTGGAACTAAAAATATAAAATAACATGAATATAAAAGAACTTCTCCGTTTAGCTAAATATCTTCAGTAAGGATAGTTTTCTGTTGCAGAACAAAAAAACAACAAATACATAATCATACCTGCTCGTTGGCTTTCTAGAATAGACGTTTGTTCAATATTGCTTGAAACTGAAATACCTAAAATGAACCATTGTTATTGTTTGACGGCTGAAGTTCCGATTTGGTTCAAAAGTTTGGTTACTTTTCTAATTGAACGTAAATTTATTTCAATCATCATCACAAAAAATCTTATTTTCTATGAATAAATGGGACAATTTTTAGTTCTAGATGGTCTATATTTTGATTAAAAAGAAGTGTTCAGCACTATGACGTCTTATACAACAGTAGATCATCCTCCTGAGTTTTATGCTTTTATAAAAATGCACGTCGCTAAGACCTATCTGGTGCCCCAATTATTCATAAAATTAAAATTTTTTATAATAATCAATGAGATAATTTTTGTTTCTATCGGAAACTACGATAATAATCTTTACTATTTGCTGTAAATTTGAGACAAAATATTTTACTTACAGTCCTTAAATTCTTCACTATTCCATTGTGAACAAATTTTGTCATATCGTTTCGGTGATTCATTAGGAAAATCTTCAATATGTACTAATTCTATTTGAATATGAAAACGATTGAAAACTTGTATAGTTAATTTTGAACCATTTTGATTTTCGAAAGACTCATTACCATCTAATAAAAGGAAATGTTTTTAAACTAAAAAATTCGATAAAACTTCAAATAAATTATTACTTGAATTGTTAATTGATCTTTCAGATTGACTGCTAGATGATGTTCCATATACATTCACATCGTGAGGCATTCCAGATATTTTCTTGACAATTTCGAAAGATATACTAAAAAAAACAAAATTTTTTCGACTTGTATGCAAAGAAATTGAACGAAGCAAAGTAAAGCTTATTCTGATGTTTAACACAAAAAAATATTAGAAAAAAAAAAATGATCATCCCGGAATACAAAGTT